GCCCTATCGGCCCAGTGGTCATAGACTCTAGAAAATACTACTGGTTGGATGGGCATTGCTCCCCCCACCTCTGGGGCCCTCCACTTCTCTATCACCTCCTTGTTTCTCCTTCCCCTTCTTTCTATGGAGATCATGCATATGGGTGTGAACCTCCTGATAAATCTGGTCCCTTTGGGTGAGGGTCCCACATATGGTGCATAGCTTCATGGAGTGTTTTTTACCTACATGAGGGCCTTTTTCTGATTTTGATGTAGAGAGGTTAACTACCACCCTACTGTAGCCACTTATATTCTCCCAGGTGTACCTGGGTACCTTGCCATTGACCTGTCCTGGAGGGCTGCTGGCTAGCCTACCATCTAGCCTAGAAGCTCCCATTATCTTTTGTCTAAGTAGAGTAGGTTTTTCATAGGTTCTACTACCCTACAGTATCCTATGAGGTACTCTGCAGTTATAGTGTCCCTTCTATAGGGGCATGGCCTTCACTTGCCATCGGCCTCTTGATATGACCACTTGGAGGTGGCCTGGCAGTAAAGCAGTTCTCTGAATTTGTGCCTTGTGACCTCATATTGGTGTTTGGATTTGGGCCTCAGCTTGCCCTTGTATCGGATGTCAGTGTTTTCTATCCTGTCTTTCCACACCTCCATGAGTTGGCATCTTAGGGCCTTTTTCCCCAATTCTTGCAAGTAGGCCATTCAGATAGTTTCCTGCACCCTGGATTCTTTGAACTACTGCCATGACCAGCTTATTGGTCTGTCCAGGCTTTCAGCCTAGAGAGCTAGTAGGCTGTACCTGTACTTGGTGCTCAGGTCGAGGGGGGAGATACTAAGCTCTGCATACAGTGCAGCCAGAGAGGTGTTTAATTCAAGCCCAAAGGCCCTTCTCATAATGTTGTTGAGGGTGGTTTAGGCCCCTGGTACTTGTATTTTTGTACTCCAGACCTCCATCCCATAGGTGAGCTGGGGTAGGATAAGCTCCTGAAGGAGGTACTAGTAGAATATGGTCAACACATTGAGGCCTCCTATATGGAATCTTTCTGTAAGGGCATATAGTTGTAAACCTATACATGTTACATTCTCAGTCCAGTGTCTTATGTGGTGGTCCCACTTTAGGTCTTCTAACAGGAAGTATCCCAGCCTACCAGAGTTGTTTCTTCTTGGGAATAGTTTTACCTTCCCATTCAGGAAGTATCTGTTTGGCTTTAATTGTTTTGATATGGATGCATTCGTCTTTGCTTTCCAAGAAGTTGTAACCAGCCTCCTCCACTCGATAGCCCAGGAGGTCTAGCATTGTTTGGTGTGCCTCAGCCCTCTTACATGGGGTGTGGTATTTTGTCACTACCAGGAAGTCATCCAGATAGGATAATATATTAGTAGCCATGTTGGAAGTACCAGCTCTCCTGGTCTACCAGGTACCTCATCCTGATCAGGAATAAGAAAGAGGAAAGGGTGAACCATTGCAGGGTTCCTTTGTCAGTGGTGAAGGCCTTTGAGTTTCAGCCATTGACCATGTAGTTGATTACTTGTTTGGAGGCCCAGTATCTGACCCACTGCCCTAGGTATGGGTTCCATTATTCAATTTGCTCATATACTGTCCCTATCCTCAGGTGGTCGAACCCTCCTTCCATGTCCAGGATAGTGGCTGTCATATGGGGGAAGTCTTTCTAGGTTAGGATTTTTTATAAAATCTGTATAGTGTCTGTGACTCCATGCTTTGTTCTCCTGCTGAACATGTTTGATCTTAGAAGCTCTAGCTTATTAATAAGCTAGACTGCTATCCTTTCTAGTATCTTGGTGAGGATCTATCGCAGCTGTATGAGCCTCCAGCTCTTGGTCTTTACATCGGTAGACTTGTTGACCCTGAGGATTAGGATTGTATTGCCAGTTTTCTAGGACATCATCATGCCTTCCAACCTAGCCCTATTCATCATCCTAACAAAAAGCTCTTCCCTTGACTTATAGAAGAGCTTGACCAGTCTGGTGGGGATGGCAGTGGGCTCTAGTATGGCCCCATTTGAGGATTTCTTTAAAGGCCCACTAAGGTGCCCAGCATGGAGCATGATAGGGAGGGTAATAGGTTTGATTTGGGTTTGGCAGTACTTACCTCTGTAGAGGGCTTGGTGTAGCTCAGCAGTAATATCAGTATGTTTCCTGACCATGGAGCCAATTTCCTTTAGCAGGGCTCAGGTTAGGTGTTTGGTCTGTCTTGGCTTCACTGCGCAGAAGTATTACAGGTCAGTTTCCTCCTGGAGGGCTTGCCTGGCCACTTCTTCTTTGTCTTATGTGATACTTTTCTGGTAGCTCTGCCAGGCCGCCTTTACCTCTTCCACTCTGGGGTTCTTCCTTCGAAGCCAGAAAACTTGTCTCCTTTCATTGTCTAGGGCCTTCCTCCAGAGGGCCTTTATATTAGGTTTGGCCCGAGGTGTGTCCTTAGTGATGACCTTGGTTAGCTTTTGCTGCACAATCCTTCCATCCTCTTTGTCCTCGTCTAGTAGCAGGATCTCAGTTGCGATCGCTTGCCAGTCTGCCATGTCCTATCTTAGCAGGTTGTCCTTGGCCTTCCACCACCTAAACCCTATCCTAATTAACAGTGCTTTATGGCTCATAGAGGTAATGGCGACTGACTTCATTGTAGTTCCATTCTCTGCCTCCATGATAACCAGATCCAGGGTGGTTGCTGCTAGGTTGTTGTTGCTTGCCGGGTATGTTATTGTATGTAGGTTCACGACTTCTACCCCTTAGCTTGCTATCCACATTCTGACCTTGAAGCCTGCAGGGTTCTAACTGGTTGACAATTTCTATTACTTCATATTTAGGTCCCCAATAACTATGTTGTTGCTTGATTTGGTGTGCCATGAGTTGTTAGGGTTAAAGTTTGACAGAGAGGATCTCTGGTACCCAAAGGTGAGCTCCCTCTCCTTAGTCCACAGAGTGATGTATTGTGTAGTAATGCGGTCTACCACAAACATGTATACATATTCCTTTCTAATATAAACTATACATCTGAACCTCTGGGGTTCGACTTAAGCATAGCAGGTACATCCATTTAGGTGGAGCTGAGCCAGTACTTATTTTCCAGTGGCACTTCGGCCAAGACGTAAATTTTCAGTTTTGAAGTTAGGAAGAACTTTAGCTACTCTGTAACAACATTCATGTACCCACCTATGTTGTGATAAACTATATTGATGACTGTAATAATTATTCAGTCGGAGCAGGTGTGGCCCCAGTTGGAGGTTCCAGAGTGGTAGACATGGCCTGTGCTAGTAGGTGTGCCCTTGTTCTCATAGGGTAGTGCCTGTCTCGCATAAAATGAGAAGTTTCCTCGCAGTTGATGCATTTGGGAACAGTGTGGGAGCATGATTTTCTCTAGCCTGCAGGGGGTTCTGGTTGCCTGAGGACAGCTGGGGGCCCTGTCTAGAAAATAGGTGCTTGGTTCAAGGCATAAGGAGTTGCCGAGGGTGTACCTGGGGGCTGGAACAGAAATAGGACTATTGGGCTTTTGGAGAAGGAGGAGGAGGCTATGTGGTTACCTGATATGGTGCCTGGGAGCTCAAATATCTCGTTTTGGGAGAAGAAGCAGACCAATTTGAGTGGGGGGTTAGGCCGGACAGGGCTGGGTGTGGAGCCATGCTGGCTGTCTCCAAGCCCTATACCATCTGAGTTTCTTCCATCGCCTGGCCCTATAGGGGTGTCCTGGGTCCCTGTGGTCTGGGATTCTTGAGTCTCCTGGGTCGGGGCCTGGGATATTTTGGAGTCCTCAAGGATCGGGGAGGAGGATGCTGGTTGCATTTGGAAGAATGAAGCTGGACTGTTATCTGAGGCCTAGTAGAAGGACGCAGCTGCTATCAGGTGGGCCAGCACCTTGACGTCAATTTCATCCATGGCCTCATTCCCGAAGACTTTAGAGAAGGTTGTTCTGAACCCAGGATATAGAGAGGGGGTATTTAGAACTGCTAGTTTGGTGGGACGGTTTGCTATATTGATGTAGCAGGTGTTAAGATATCCAAGCTCCTTGCACACTCAAGGAAAGGTACTTCCTGGTGCCACAATTCTTGCCCCTACATTGATCAGTGTATTGGGGCAGTAGACTGGGTGAATGATCCAGGAGAAGGTGGAGATAACTGAGTCCAAAGTGACTCCGATCAGGGATCCAGAAAGGAGGAGGCTGGATGAGCTGTGGAGGGAGTTCCTGGAACCTCCAAGGGGGGAGGACTTGGTGGGGGAGTAGGACATGACGGGTTACAAGGTGGTCTTCTGGCCAGCGCCTTGTTTCCCAGGTGTTTGGAAGCTTTAAGCAGAAAGCCTCTGATTGGCTGGCCCACCTCCAGGAGGAGCATCTAGAAAGCAGGAGTGGAGTATGTAAAAGTGGGAAAAAACTGGTTGTACTGGGGGAAAAAGTGAGGTGGCAAGTGCTTGGCAGTAAATCAGGTATGGGAGCATAATTCCCACTTCAATATACTGTATTTCTCTTTCTTTCTTTCTCATCCTCGATGTGTGTATGTATGTGTGTATAACAAACCATTCTTACCATCACAAAGAGGTCACTCGCCAGATATCACCAATATCATAAAAAGGAGATGCCATGATGAAATGATCCAGAACCCAGAATACGACAGGTGATGCCGCATGCTTCCACTCCCGTCGTAAGATAGATATATATACATATATATAGAGAGAGCGTGATTTACATCTTTAGTCCCAACCCACCAAACACCATAATAAATTATCATTAAAAAAAATAGACATAAAGGGATAAACGTACCGAGTGATACCTTATGTCCCTGAAATGTCCCGCCGGACACACTCTCTCTTACATTAGCACAGGTCCATTGGGGAGTGAGTAACTACGACACCTATGACATAAAAACAAAAAAATCACCAGACACCCGGCATGATCGTCCAAATCCTTGGTCCAAGTATTGTACCGGTAGTTGTGAAAGGGTCAGCGTAAATCACTCCCGCTTCTCCAGCCGATTGCGATCAGGTCGGATGTGTGGTATAATGTTTTAATTCTCCATTCAATTATTCTATGAAGTACTCGGGTGTTGTACATACATTAAACTCAACTGGTAAAGTATGACATGAAGAGTAGAGAGGTATCTGAGTAGGCTAGAGTAAAATCGCAAAAAAAAGATGTAAAATGGAAAGAATTACAAGTTATGAACCACTCCCTGCATTCGTTTTTCGGATGTTCACAATGAAGGCCATCTCGGTGACATTTTCACAAAAAAAGACTCGCCGGAAAAAGAAACAAACATTAGGTTAGCAAGATAGGTTGGTAAAAATAAACAAATTTAACAGAAAGACAAGCAAGAACGCCATTCCCAATCCATGATCAATCCATAATAACCGTGTCTAAAAAATGCAAGAGAAATTTTCATGCGAATGAAAAAAAGAAATGCATTTATGCTCCAGCTACCGCTTCAACCTTCTTTCCCTTGACGGATGCCCACTCGACGCCGAAACTGGCAATCACTCCAACGACAGACATTGCGACGGCGGGATAAAAGCATTCGATGAGAGCATGGTTGTAGGCTTTGAGGATGGCGGGCTGCATGTCTGCCGGGAAGGTAGACTTGAGACTGGTAGCGCCAGTGTTGAGAATCGCAACCGGGTCGATGTTGGGGAGACTCTCGGAGAGTCCCGCAACAAGTTTGTTACTAAAGACGTTCTGGCCGACCGAGATGAAGAGAGCACCTCCAAGGGTTTGGAAGAAGACAATGACGGCGGTTCCAGTTGGCACATCTTCTATCTTGAGAACGGTTTGAGCTGCAATCATGGGTTGTTGCATGCAAAGACCAATACCCGCTCCACAAATGAACTGATAACCGATCCATTTAGCATGGCCAGTGTCGACTTCAAAGGTTGTAAGGAGGCCCGCGCCAATTGCGCAAATGGCGGCGCCGGCGATCATAAAAGGTGTGTAATAGCCACAGAGGGTGATGAGGATCCCGGCGAGAATGGAGAGGACAACAACCCCCAAGATCAAAGGGAGATTCATGATTCCGGACTTTGTAGCTGAGACGCTCTTGATGGCCTGGAGCCAGATGGGAATATAGAAGACGAGCAACAGGAACGCGGATCCAATGGAGAAGGCTAGCATGGAAGAGAATGCAATACTACGCTGCTTGAGGATACGAGGAGGAATAGTGGCCTTCTCTTGGCGCCAGAACTGAGTAACCACGAACCCAACCAAGAGAACAAAGGCGGTGACCAAGAGACCAATAATACGTGCGGATCCCCACTTGTAAGTAGTGCCACCCCATTGCAGAGCCAACAGTAGGGAAACAACACCAGGAAGGAGGAGAGAAGTTCTGCAAAGCAAAATCAGTATCGCACTCGAAAACAATTATTCACCATGGGCATCTTACCCAACAAAATCAATCTCCTTGAGCTTCTCAGTAAGGGTCAATTTGTCGGCTTTAGCGCGCTTTGGGGGGGTGAAGTAAAGAATCATCTATAGGTTTGTCAGTGAAAACCCAAACCACAAATGTCATCCCAGAAACCCACGACAGCAACTGTAAAGCCTCCGATGGGAAGATTGATGTAGAAACACCACCTCCATGTAGCGTGATCGGTAAACTAAACGAATGATCGTCAGTGAAGCTTCCCCCCAAAACTCCAAGGGCCATAACTTACAGCTCCCCCCATCAATGGTCCAGCAACACTTGCGATACCATACATGGCTCCAATAAAACCGGTGAACATGGGTCGTTTCCGCAGTGGTACCGAGTGCGCAAGGATGATCAAAGCACCAGAGAAAATACCCGCACATCCCAAACCAGCAATTGCACGCCCGACAATGAGAGCCTTCGAATCAGGCGCAACACCACAAATCAAAGATCCGAGTTCAAATATCCCAATGGCAGCCAAAAATACCCATTTCAAGCTGAAGAATGTATAAATCTTCCCGTAAACCAATTGGAAGGAACAGACCTGACAGTCCCATTAGCTGAACAATATCTCACGATTGGGGCAAAGGCCAAGGAACAACCAACCGTCAACATGTATGAAGACCCGTACCAACCGACATCATTCAAAGCTCCAAACTGATCCGTAATTTTAGGGATAGCGGTGGCAATAATGGTTTGATCCTGTATCAAAAGCAAAAGTTAGCTCTCACCACGCTCGGACAAGACGGGAATACAAGGACGAGCGGTGGGGTGCTTGTTGTATCATGAGACCCACCAAAGCAACCAAGAAAACAGCCAAGGATAAAGCAGTCGTAATCAGGGTCAGTGCAACAGGACCCGGATATTGAGTCTCATCCTCGCTCCCTTCACTTCCCCCCTCCGACCCGGCATCCGGGTTCACAGCCTTTTCGGCGTCCGTGGTTGGGGTGACGGGCCGCTTCTCAGAATCCAGGTGTGGTGAAACTGGTCGAGAATTATCTCGAAAGCCCTTCTCCCCAGTGCCGCCCACATCGTTGTTCACACTGAGAGCAAGTGTGGAGGAATCGGTGGTGGTAGCCATAGTGGTGGCCGAGCGGTTCTTTCTCAGGGCTGTCTGGGGAGGGCTCAAGTCAGTCGACACAGACTCGCCCATGAGACGGGTGGTGAGTACCGGTACCGGTATATATCGAGTGTTTGTGTAGGATGCCTGTCTCTATCGATGATCCGATGAAAGGGAAGAGCAAACAGGGTTGCGAAGGAATTGGAAAGGAAGGAGCGTGGTGATAGAAAGGGGGGGAAGAAGTGCAGGAGCAAGGCATGTGGGGCATACTGGTTGATATTTATTCCCACTAAGGTGAGAAGGGGAGAGCTGGGGCTTGTGTGTGTGGGTCTAGGCAAGCAGGTCAAATTTCACTAGGTTCTCGTGTTCTACTCGTACATGTACCGTACGAAGGCAAGCAAATACTATTACCGGAATTGGAAACCCAGCTGGGGGCCAAACCAGCTCCCTGGTACACGGCAGCGATAAGTCTCTTGATTTTTTTCCTCTCTAACCAAAAACCTTTTCCTATCATACCCCACCAACCGCCCTCTGTATAATCTTAGCAGAGGAAGTGTTTGTCTGGAGCTCAAGAGCCCACCATAAAATAAAGATACTTGATTGCCCTTTTTCCCCGAAACCAAAAAAAAAGGTTAAAGAATCCCTGCTAATGGAGCCCTTAGCGCAGTAGCGACTCCTCCGAACCAGAACAAGGCCCCAGGGGTTTCCTGGAATTGGTTTCTTGTACTGTACGCAAATACAAATATCGTAGCCCACTCTCAAGGGCTGGAATCGGCCAGAAAAGGGGAACGAAAAAGGTTATCGGGACTCTGTATCACCACGCTTCCTGCACCGATTCAAGAAGGCACTTGCGGAGGATCCCTACGACATGGCACCCATTTCAAGCAAAAATATGTATACACGCATCATACTGTCGCACCGGTATATGGTAATAAATTGGAGATAAACCAGCACAGCAATACGTCCGGCAATCTTGTCACGCCTTCCTTCGGAGTTGCACTTTTCTTCCCCTCTCTCCTCCCGAACTCCAGATGTTCCCCCTAGCCCCTCGTCGGGAGGTCCACTCGGACAAAAGACGCGCCGGCCATCTCCTCCGGGCTGCTCCGGCTATGCCTGTTTCCGTGTCCCGCGCCACGCACCGTTTCACACGCGAGAGAAGCTCAATCCAGATGCAAATATCGTAGCGGTAGATGGCAGGAAAAGCACAAAAAGCTGTCGTCAGCCAGTAAAGAGTTGGAGTCTCATAAAAGCAAAAGGCTTGGCCCTACGACTGTGCGAGAGAAGAAGAGATCAGACGAATACTGTGGAGTCATTTCATGCCTGTGCTCCAACGTCATGGTGAGCAGGACAATAACGGAAGGGAATAATTATCCCTTTCCTCCCTTTGCTGCAGCGGAGCACTCCACCACTCCCCAATTCCCATACTGTACAGGCACCCGCACCCGCACCGCACCGGTACCTCGCCGCGAAAGCATGCAAAAAAAGCAAACGCAGCAGGAAACACGACCAAATCATCATCATTCGTCCACCGACTCAAATCTCAAGATGCCCTCGACTCATCCACCCAGAAAAAACTCCCTAGCGAATCAATCTCGTGCAACCCCAAGAGCTGGATAGGCAAAAAGAAAAGGGAAAAAAGAAAGACAGAATCACCCCATCGCGTTCCTCTTTCCCGTCCGCCCAAGCCTCACCCCACTCAATCACCCCAAACTTCAACCCATTTCCTACCCGTTTAAACCCGGCTGCCTTCCCAAGCGCTTTTAGCCCTAACTCGAAGCTACAGTTTGAGTACTACAAGTAGTATTCGTAGGCTCGACGCCCCTTCATATCAAGGATGGCTCAGACGGAATGAAGGGGGGGGGGGAAAGGCGGCCCGGTGACCCCGATTCGTCAATGGTGCTTGGGTTTCCGTGACTGGATGTCCGCCGCCCCGGGTTGCCTGTGGTGCTAGCTAGGGTACTGTAACTCGTACCGGCACTGTACTCGAGTATACGCAGGGTTGTGCAACGCGACGCGCGAATAGGATTTCCTTCCGGATGCGGTAAGCGAGGGTTTTGTATGATGGCTACTTCGTACAGGCTCGCTGGTTGGTGCTCTACGCGTCTCGCGTTGGAATACCGTACTCTACGAGTATAATACAGTGTTTCCACCGCACTCGTGTTGAGGGTCTACGACAGTACGAGTACCGGTAAATGGCCGATGGGGTTTTTTCCACACGAGCCGTAGCGAGTAAAGTCCCCTTTTTCCACAGGTATGGTACCGGTACTCGTGCAGTGCCACATATTCCCGAATACGGTACAGTACCGTACTCGTACCCTATCGTCGAACACTGCTCGAGCCAGTATCATACCGGTACCGGCACTACCGGTATAAACGAAGGCACATGCATATGACACATAACGTTATTAACAGGACACGAACACGAGGATCCCCACGAATAGACCTTCCCAAGGCTTCGTGTATGATAGTCACTACCGGCACCAGGTGGTGTGCCGGTACTCGAGTACGGCACTACAAGTACAGTAGGTTACCGGTAATGATGGAACGAACAGGGCCCAGGACCAAGTCCTCTAATATACTCGAGTGTCATACCGCCAGAACCCCTGTCCGTCCCATACTCGAGTAGCTGCAAAGTACTCAGTATAACACGATGAACTCCCATACCGGTGCCGCACTCCCTCTGGAAAAAACACTACCGCGTTCCTCCCCAGCGAGTTTCCGTTCTGATCGGGGGGAATGATCGGAGGCCGATGGGGTGATGATGGTGGACCTATCGTAGCCTACCGTACCTGCAACAAGCTCTTTATCCGTGGGAGAGCACCTGGCACAATCTACCGTATTACCTACGGCACTCGAGTGCCGGTACCCGTACTCGTACAAGCCCTATGCTGGGTTAGTACTTGTACCAGTATGATACAAGTACTAGTACAGTAAATATCAGTACCGGTAGCAATACCGTATTCGTACCAGTACCCGTAAGGGGAAACTCTTGAAATCTATTATCCCCACCCGCCCTGTACTAGTACTCGAGTATGATACAGGGACCGTACTGCACTGTACGTAAACTCCAGATTCCGAGTCAAACGCTCCTGAAAAATATCAATGTTTTTGTTCCCAAACGGCAAATCCTCATCATCCCATGACTTGTCATCAAATCCCATTAACCCCATTCGCAATCCGCTTAACCTGTCCAACTTAAACCTATTATAGGTAAGTGAAACAGAGATCAGCACCTTACTACGGAGATGGATGGTGGATTTCAAGAGCTTTTACTGGTACAAGTACCGTATCATACCATCGCCCCCACCCGGCAAAGCGAGAGAGAGGACTCACTTCCTCGCTTCCTTAGAGTGCTCGCACAGTACCCCAATTAAGCTCGCTACCGTAGTAAAATATCATAGCTCAGATTTTTCCTGCACCAAACAGTATTTCACTTTGTATTGTAATCAATGCATTTTTGATCCAGTTACAGCGCCGTAGCGTAGCGAGCTCAAGGGTCCATGCGGGCACCCGGGTTAAAAGGAAGAAGTGGAGTGGGGGGCTCGTTTCAACGGAGCTCGATGCAAGAATACGGTACGATAGGTACGGCACATGTTAATTACTGTGATGGATGTAAGGAGGGGACACGGAACTCATGTCCTGGGTACCCGTGATGGCGGTTATGGTAACACCGGAACAACGGAATCCCGGTCCGCCGCGACAAAGCGCAATGCAGAATTGTGACTCCAAGTTGGAGCCCTAAAAACATTTTTCCTACTCGAGCAACTACAATACGGTATGATAACTGTGTGGCTCTGTGGTCGTATCATAAAAAGAAAGGAAAGCAAGGAAAAAAAAAAGATCGGGCTGCGGTACCGGTACTTGTATTTGTGCTCGGAGCCAGTCGAGAGAAATCATAAACCGCACGATCCAACCCACCGACCGATCAAGCCATACACCCACTCGGCAAGAACAGCCCGACAGCACTCCCGACAACCCCAATCCACACGGCCAAATATTTCTCCGCGTCGAAATCCTCCCTCCCTTCCCCCCAATCCCGGCGCCGCAGCTGCCACTCGCCCATCGCCGCAGCAGTGTTGCACGGGTGCACGAAATAGTACGGCACCCCGAGCACCGGGTGATCGGTCTGCGATATCGCGCCTTGAACGCCGACGCTCTTGAGCGCGTCACGGGTCGTGGCGGACGTTAGCTTTTCGTAGACTTGTTGCAGGCTTGCCGGGATCTGCGCGGTGGAGGAGGGGGGGTGCAGGTTGAAGTATAGGATTGGCAGTTGGTAGGCCCTCGATAGGAGGATCTGGTATTCTACTTTCCAGCGCGACGGTGACACAGGGGGGAGGGACTGGTAATTTAGGCTCGGTTACCGGTAGGTTAGCGGGAGGAATAGATCGGGGGGGGTGGGGGAGAGGGGGATACGGATACTTCATCGTCTTCGTCTTCGTCTTCGTCTTCTTCAACACCACCGTTTTGCACTTTTTCATCTTCGTCTTCACGTTCATTGCCATCGCCCTCGCCCTCGCCCTCGGCGCAGGCGGCGACCAACTCGCGCCTAACAATCAAGCCATAAACACCCCCCATCTCCCACCGCCGTCATCGTTAGTCACACCCATTGCCGCTGTTGCACTGAATACGCATGCCAAGCTAAATACCTCATGACTCAACATCGCCTCGCCAATCCCTCCCTTCTGCAATCTCTCGCCCAGCCGAGCGCATCCCTCCGCAAACTCCTCTGGAGAAATGAACGGAAAATTCTGCAGGTCGGGCATCGCCGTGGCGCTCCACTACTATGTAGAAGAAAAAGAAAAACCTTTATCTAATTTGTTCAGCGTTTCTTTCCCTTCAGCTCTGCCTCTTAGGAAAGGGCGCAGTGCTGTGCGGTACGGTGCAGTGATGGCCAGTGAGGGTGATGTGTGGTATGGTACAATACCAATAAGTCAAGTTAGGCAGAAGTCGCCGAGATGGCGATCATTAGGTATCACTCGGTGACAGGGCCAAGGGGGAGTAGACAGGAGGGTGGAAGGTGCGAGAGGTCAGAAAAAGGGAAAGAAAGTGAACCGAAGGGTAAGATGAGGCGTTTCGGGCGGTTGATCGATCTGCACGGCTATATCGTGTGTTGCTTTTTGCGAGGCAATCTAGATTGGTAGGAATCATGGTCAGTCACTCGAAATATGATCCTTGTTGAATAACGACTTACCGGTGATCCAACCCCTATATACCGCTGAATTTGACCACCCCCCGGCCAATACGTGGGATAAGAATTTCTAATGTTCGGAATCTGGGAATCTTGGCCGGGTGGGCTACTACTGGCCCGGCCCCGGGATCTGCGTACTGTAGTATGCTCTTTGGCCAATTCTTGAACCGCTTGGGCGGATTGTACGTACCAGCGTGATACGCCTCACCCTTGTGCTGTTGTGCCGGTGGGTATTGTGAGGGATTTGTTAGTGGAGATTTAGCCTTCCCTCGACGCTTGTAAACCGTGATGCGATCGTTGTGCCTGAGTGGGCTTTACGAGCTGAAATTTTACCCCCACTGTAAGGACGATGATGATGTTGTGGGGATGAGAGGGGGGGTTTGACCGTCTACGGCAGGCAAGGAGCACAAGTCGATCGCGGGAGTAACCAGCTTCCGTTCCGTTATTATGGCACTGCATAAGGACATGTATCGGCACTCCGGAAACCGTCTTAACCGTACCAATGGGGGAAAAGGGCGGGTGACAAGATAGAGATGTGATCGCTGGTGGGGAAAAAGGGGGAACAAAAAATTCCTATGATACAGTGAAGAATGTATCGTACGGCGGAACAGAGTGGGAGATGCATGATACATGGGGGACTGATTGGGGTTCAAGCTTTCGAGGAAGGAGAGGGTGCGTGTGTGTGGGGGGGGGGGGCTCTGTGCTCGTAGGACAAGGCAGCGGTAAGCGCTTTATGACACCGTTAGAACCCGAATGGAGGATAAATCCGCAAGGACGTTTCAGTTTCCGGGTATATATGATAAAGCGCTGCCTATCATAATATGATATGTCCCCTTTTGTGTTGTCTCGACTGTGGCACATTCATCCTCTGTTCGAGCTCTTTCTTATATACGGTATCATACTATAGGCGCAACATAGCGGGGTTTGCGGTTTACCGGCTGGCAGCTGGTAGGTAGGTAGGTATTTCCCCATTCTTCATTTGTGTGCTTGTTGTCGCGGGTGTTCCTATTGTGTTCCCTTCTTTTCTCATATCATATCTCGAGAATTTTGGAGCTGGAAAGGTTTTCCTTGCCGGGCCCCGCTTTCCGTGGTATATAGCGTATGGCACCACGGGCACAAGAGCACGCACCCCGCTCCCTATCCCGAGACGCCATTGGCTAGAGCTCGCCAATGCGGTTTGTGTTCTAGATCTTGCTTATTCACCTCTTCCCTGAGCCGGGGATTCCGATCGATATTTCAGATCCCGCAAGTGCGAGTGTTTGCATTGGACAGCCTCTACGAGCGGACAATATTTCATCCACTGCTCCGCCTAGAGGGGGTCTTTGGTCTGCCGATTGAACTCGATCCTGACCTTGCGAGCTTCCTAGCCCTCGAGTGATGTGTTGTGATGGGATTCTGGGAACGTGAGAGTGGTGATGGGGGAAGCTGGGAGGGAGGTAGGGAGGGAGAGATAGAGTGTTTGTGGGGATCCAAGAGGGTGGATTTCGGGGGCGTTGAGGGGCTCCGTTGTGGGAGCGGCTTCAACTTCGTCACCAAACCACTGGGATTGTGAGTACTCGGCGTTTCTAAAACTCTCCGGAATGGGAAATAAATAAGTGACATTTATGGATAATTGATGGCTTCAAGGCATCATATTTTTCACAAGAACTGTCGTACCCTGGGCCCGCGAGCACATGGCTCGCGTTCCGGAGACTTTGGGAAACGTCCAAAGGGCAGCAACGGATGGGTTTGGTGAATTGTTTGTTTGTTTGTTTGTTCTTGGGAGCCCGTGATCCTATGCGGGTCTATATCTCTCACCTTGATTCCCTTCTCGGGCTCGTCTCTAGGCACATCTCCCCTACTCGTTTGGTTGCAAGTTACCATCTTTTCTGAACGCTGACTGTCACGATCATTTATTGGATCGCGTGTCGTTCCGTGGGCTCCGGTTCTGAGGTACTGGCAGACTTACTCGCGCTAAGTGTTGAGTGTGGATGGGGGTATAGAGTAAGGGAGATTGAGTTAGGGAGGCAGTGGCGCATTGGGAGTTGCGAGGCTACTGTTTATCACGGCTAGATTTACCTACTGCTATCATACCCGAAGAGTGGGTGGCATGCAGTGGGATACCCCCCGATCTTTTATTAAAAGATGGAGACAGGATGGGATGCTACCATCAACCCCCCCGAGAAATAGCGCGGGGCCAAGTAAAATTTTTATCGAATTTCATAAACAATTCATGGCGTACTCATTTCTTACCATCATACCATAGGTATACGCAACACTACGCAGCCCAAAATCCCCAATCGTACAACACAGGATGGAACTCGAAGTTCTGGTAATTCCGGTTCTGCTAGAGGACAACATAGAGAATATCGCTGCTTGATCCTGGCTCGTGTTTTTCTCTCTTTCCCTTACAATGCTGCTGCACCTTACAGTGACTTCTGTCACCTCCACCCATTCCGCGCAACTCCCCGTTTATCTGGCCTTCCCGAACGTTGGCAACCGCCGCGAGTCTACCGCAACCTCATTTGCCTATTTCGTACTGAACGAACGGAGTGTCATAGATGATCACTCGAATTACATCGACTGCAGAGTGAAGTGAAAACGAGTAAAGTTCAAAGAATAATAAATTGATATTTAGGAATAAGAGAAAGTAAGTTGTGATTATGGCTATTGTCAGCATACAAGTGACAGAATGTAGCCCTATAAATAATTTTAATCAACTGCTTGATCTTCACCATCCATCTCATAACACTCAGTCCACTCTACTCTATCTGGTCCATACCATTCCATCCAGTCCATACCATTCCATTCGGAGGTAGTCAGGAAGCATAACGATCATTCCATACAACACAGAAGGTAGATGTACAGTACACTGGTGATGCCCGCGGGACTTGAAAGGCTGGCCACAATGTCCTCAGCGAGGTTATCGTTAGTCGTAGATATCACTTGCAGTATCGTACCCTTCTATTGTAAACTCATCAATGTCCTGGTGCCTGGCGCCGGTTGGGTATCTGTGTGCCCCCCTTCAGTGCACTAGTACCATCCTGGGTATGAGATGGTCAAAACTACCGTACCTTTTCCCTCTTGGTGGATATCCCCTCGAGGCTACGAGAGATCATACCTCCGAACACGGAATGGATCCTACTATCGGTTATCGGAGGTTAACTTGATGCCCATATAAATGTGTATATTGTGAAAGATGCGTGCCTTTTTTCCGCGAGGGTATCGCTACATCTATCTTTAAGTTATGCACTGTACGGTTTATAACAAATGTGCCGTCTCATTGTCTGATGATCCGTCCTACACCCGTCAGTAACCAGGCAGAATTGAAAGAAAGGAAGAAAGAAAGAAAGAAAGAAAGAAAGATGGTGGAGAGAGAAACAAAGAAAAAAACAGAATCAATAGATATCTCCTACTCGACTGCAAATACCAAGAAAGCTTCCTGCTAATTTGATCCACATTTACCAGGAGCTGAGCGTTAATCGGCCAAAGGTCTTGGCCAGCTGTGAATGGGTAGAGACATTTATTTATTTCCAGATTCCTCACTCGAGGACTTCGAGGAGTAGTAGGAGGAGGTGTCTATGCTGGTAGAAACTGTCCTCCTCACATTTTTTTTTTTGCACATGGTGGTGGGCTTGAGTTATAGGGATTATCCCATTACTAAATATCGCCCACTCGCTGTTCTAGCTTCCGTCCTGTTTTGCTGTGTTTTACTTGGCGATAAGAGCTGAGGCGCTCCTGCCTTCTGACTCGAGTGTCGGACGCGATCACTCCCCCCCCCTGATCGAGATTATAATAAGACATGAATTTGGTATCCTTGTATTCCCATCTGTTACGCGGTGATCCTATGCACGTCTGGAGGGCCGCCCTCATACATCTGTAACCTGCAACGCCTCTCCAAATCCTGTCCTGGTCACAGCATCACAGAAGCCGCCTTTTTTATATATTTATTTTCCATAGCTGATATTCTTCTAGTTGTAATTGTCGCTTGCTTGCATAATAAGGCATTTTATCGTTACTTGGTAGTGATCTAATGATAATAATTCTTCTGTAAGGATGCCTCTATTTCCGTGATGCATTAAATCCAACAAGCGCTGGATTATGTACTGTACTGTACATAGGTATCCTCACCCCTCAGGAAGGAGAAGCTCCCGACAGCAGGATAAGTAATTCATTCCTCTGGTAATATCCTGTGAAAATACCTGACTGGCTGAAGTGTCAAGAAATTATTAGCTTCTGTAAAATTAGTATGAAAATAGGAGATCAGGTGTTCGATATCCTCTCGATATGAAGTTGTTATTGGGTGCTCTGTCAGGTAAGGTTTATAGGATATTTAGGGAATCTTGCCCTACGGGAGCTGGGAGACTGAGATCCTTAGCCTTATTCAATGGGGTTGGCTATAGGGTAAATCTGACCTGCTGTGAGGTGGCAGCATCCGGCTCTGGACCGTATTATATCGTATGATACCTCTAAGGGTGAGGTCCACAATCGGCGGGGTGGGAGAAGAATAAAACATAAATTCTTTTTTCCTTCTTCTTTCCTTTCTTTTTCATGAAGGTTGTTTTTGCATACGATACTTTCCCCGGGAAAAGGGGT